GACGGGGAGAAAGATCGATAGGTGATCAGTCTATCGATCGGCAGCCGCAAGTCAGATAACTTCAGAGACACTCTGCAGCGTGCTCAAAGCTCTTCGACTTGGGCGGAAGTCGCGCGGAATTTTAAACGGCCAGCGAGCCAATTACTAGCCGCCACGTGTGAATAATTTAGCACTGGCCAATAACGGGGCACAAATTTGCATCCGAATAGCGGGAACTCTTTGCACCGTGCATCTCTGTGCTGCAAAGAAGAAATGCATCCTGCAAAGGAAACTGCAAATTGGCGGGAACTCTCCTGCACGCAGGCTCTTAATTGCAGCAGAACACTCTGCTGTGCAAAGGAGCTCTCATGTGGCCAGGAAATTCCACAGTGCTGAGGCACAAAAAATCACTGGGTCGTGACACTTACCACCCTGAGACCACGCATCACAGTCAAGGTGATGGCATTAAAAGCAAGAAACAGAAACAGCCTATTTTAACCATTTTAGGAACCATGCCAGATTGCAACCTAATACAAGTACAATCTTTTTGTTAAATCAGTAAGTTTGCTTCATCAAAATCCACTTGATATTGGGACCTCTTCAGCTAAAATGGTACCTACAATTGATGTTGAAATTAGTACAAGTTATGTTCAGGAATGTGTTCTTTTATGGAGTTGATGTTTGCCTAGAAAATGACCTACGGAAGTTTCCATAACAGTAGAAACGTGCAAATCTCTCCTACTTGCTGGTGTCTTCTAACACAAGCATGCAGTAAATAGTTTTTGACTTTGAGTCAGCACAAGGACGTGTCTTAAGGTGCCAGCCACAGCAAGCTCATCCAACTACTCAAATTTGAATGGGTTTAAATAAATACAATCAATTTAAAAGAAGAATTCTTGTTTCTGACAAGATATAAATGGCCTTCATAGTTAACAGATTTTATCTAAGCAATGAGAAAACAAAACTTGGAGCTGGCTAGAAGCTGTGGTAAAAGTTTGGTCTTTCTCTCTTCCCCTCAAAAATCAATCCCTGCCACAGACTTTCCAGATTCAGGGCCCTTGCAGGGAATTGCCTGGTTAGTGATGTGATAGGAAAACTGTTCTATTGGATTTGAAATATATCACCTGACTTGGGAACACTAGAAATGTCTAGAAAGCTCTTCAGGCTATTCTCATGGATTAGATTTTACAACCAGCAGCAAGTGCTGTTATTTTCCATCTGGCACATGAGAAAGAGATTTCACTGTGGGGTTTCCTATTTTTATGTTTTAAAATGAAATCTGACAACAGAAAACCTAGAGAATCTGCTTTTGAAAGAAATAACTTGTGTTTCAGTTTTCCACTGAGAGTCTGAACAATTTAAGCATGGACATACTCTATTAAAGATGCTACAAAAAAGTTTGTAAGCCTAAATTTACAGCAGTTTTGTCACAGTTCCCAAGTGGTCACCATGGGAACAACAGCAGAAGTTACAGCCCTAGAATGAGAATACCTTCCATGCATTGTTACGGCAAGGTAAGGGAGGGGACATCCTTGGACTGAGACTTTGTGGGAGATAAATCGAAGCTTTGCATGTGGGTTTGAGTTACATACAGGGTTCAATCTCCCATTTTGCTTGGTAGTAAACAGCTATGTTACTGTTGTGCCTGAGATGCTCTGCCAAATGGTGGAATCATAAAAAAGCAGGGCTGGAAAGGACCTTGCGAAGTCATCTAGCACAGCACTCTGCTTGAGGTAGGATGGTTTAGATAGGCATGAGCCGCGAAAAGTGTTTAGGATCATAGAAGAGCAGAGCTGGAAGGGACCTCACAAGACCAATGCCCTGGTCAAGCCAAGATCATTCTTGACTAAACCATCCCATCCAAGTGTCTGTCCAACCTGCTCTCAAAAACGTCAATCCCAGAACTTCCCTAGGTAGCCTGTCCTAATGCTTAACCACCCTTGGTGTCAGAAAGTTCCTCCTAATCTCCAGCCTAAATGTCCTCTGCTGAAGCTTGAGGCCATTGCTCCTGGTCCTGTCCCCTACAGCCAGAGAAAAGCACATCTCCATTCTCTCTAGAATCGCTCTTTAAGTATTTGAAGATTGTTATCAAATCCTCTCTGTTTCCTCTCATAAATTTTGCCTCTGAGGCCCCTAATCATTTTTGCTGTTCTACACTGGACTTTTCCAAACTGTCCACATCCTTCTTGAAATATAGGGCCCAAAACTGGACAAAGTACTCAGGTGAGGCCTCGTCAGTAGTGAATAGTGTAACCTATTCTTAAAAACTTTGTAAAAACCTTTTTTTTCAAATGCCAAGAACAACGCCCAAAATGTAAAAAATACCCTAACGTGCCACAGGAAAAACAGGGGGATGAGGGCACTGTCAATATTTTGCCACTGCAGACAGGAAGTAGTTTGCTACATATGCTTAAGAGATCCAACAAGGATGATTCTCCCTATGCCTGAGGACTCTGTTTGACAACTGTTGAAAGACCTTCTGTCTAACAGATCTTATGTTCTCTGGCTAGATGAGCTTCATCTTGGAGAAGTCACAAGGAAACATAATTTAGGCTACATGTATCTAACCGGATCTTGAAAACGTACAAGAATGGAGATTCCACAGCTTCCCTAGGTGAGAGGTTCCCAGGCCCGGTAATGGGCCATGGTGGGTTGCCTGCCAAGTCATGGCTTCTGTCGCTGACAGTCACATGCAGGGTTAAAACTGGGCAGCAGGGCAGCCCCAGGAGGCAGGCAGCCAGCTCCGTGCACCCTGTCCCGCTCCCGCCATGCCCAGTGAGGTGCTGCCCGCACAGCAGGTACTGGGGCCTAGGCCAGGCTGGACCAGGCAGGACCCCCAAGCCCCATCTGCAGCCGGGGAGATGTGGGCGGGGAAATGTTCAGGGCAGAGGATGGGGAGTTGCCTCTGCTGCTTGCTCCTAGGAAAGGCAGCAGAGCCCCTTCTTCCTGGGCAGCCCCAGCTAGGTCCCCCAGGCCACTGCCTGCGCAGCCCCCTCCCTGGAGAGTCCCCTGGTGCCTGCAGCTGCGGTGCTTCAACCTGATCCAATCCTTGCAACCCCCACACCATGTAAAAATTACATTTAACTATGTAAGTTAAATTTAAATATATAAATTAATCTGTTTGCCGGTCTGCAGTATAAAAAATGCTCTAGGTAGCCTGTTCCAGTGCTTACAAAGTTACTCCTAATCTCCAACCTAAATTTCTCATTTCAATTTGGTCAGAGTCACTGAAAATACTTTGCAAGGTACACGTAATGTTAATACGGTAGCACTGGCATGCATGAGACCCTTGTCTCAGCATGTGCTTTCTGAACTCATGACATTCTCTCTCATACAAAGGGAAGAGGATCAAGTGAACACTAGCTATATTGACAAGAAACAGGACCCCTACCTGGGCGGATAGTACTATCCCTTCCGAAAAGGTGAAGCCGTCGTCTCCCGAGGCAGAAGTGTTCGATGATGTGAAAGATCTCTACAGGTTTTTCTATGTTGCCAATTTCAGGTTCTTCTGTGATAATTAAGTCAATATCAACATTAGCATGAATGAAGTCACCATCGGTACTGCGGCGAACTGTTCCTTTAATTCCCATAAGGCAGTGCTCCTAGATAAAACAAAAGAGTATATTAAGGGTCTTTTTACCTAAAGGGTACCCCCAGGGGCAGATCCAGAGAAGGTGCAGGTTGCAGCCACACCTGCTTTTTGACCATGCAGCAAAAACACCATCTGGGGAATTTTTTAAGTCCTGAAAAAGGTAAGAATGCCCTCCCCTCTGCCTTTCCCCACCATGCTCAGAAGACCTCACACCCCCCTATCCCTTTCTTTACCATTCCTCATTTCCTTGCCTGCTGCTGGTCTCTCCACTGCCTTGAGGGTGAAGGGAGCTCCAGAGCTGCTCCAGTCAGATCGTGCAGGTGCTGGGCTCAGCCCAGGACAGCAGCAGCAGTGGGCGGGCAGCTCTCCCTTCCTTGCCTGCTCTCCCCAGGTGATCCCCACCACTGGCGTGGGAGCAGGCATAGCGAATCGGAACCTGCCCACCCACTGCTGTCCTGGGCTGAGCTCAGCCCCTGTGCATCCCAGATGGAGTAGGACAAGAGCTCACCCTCTTCCCCAAGACAAGGGAGGGACACTGACAGTGGCAGGCATGGGAGGGGAGGAATGGGAGAGGACATACCTCTGAGCAGGGAGGAGAAAGAAGGGGTGACTTTTTACCTTCTTTGAAACTTAAAGGAAGTCCCCAGCTTCTGCTCCTGTGGAGCAGTCTGTCCACCCCAGTGAAGGGGAGGGGATGAGGAGGCAGAGAGCAGGGAATGCAGCAACCTCTGATTGCTGCTCCTGCACCCCACTTTGTAAAAATCTGGATGCACCTCTGGGTCCTCCTATATAGTATACACATCATTGAAGTGCATAGCCTTGAAACCAAAGAAAACCCAGGTAGCATGCTTAGCTGGACTTCAGGTAAGCAACATCTAACCCCAGGACTTTTTCCTGCCTAGGCCGGGGATCGGACTCAATGTTCTGCTGAGGTCCCTTCTGACCCTAGCATCTATGAATCTATGAACACGATGATGCTATGGGATGATGATGCCACAACACTGATTTGTGCTCCTCTCATTTTCAAGGCTTCTAAGAGTGGCTGCAAAGTTTTGGAGCTGTAAACACAGCGCTGTAAAACAATGTTCCTTAAGTGCACAGATGTGTCAGTGCTGTGGTATTCACAGCCCTCAAAATGACTACTCATTTTTCAAGCTCTCCTCATTTTCAAGGCATCTAATAGCAAGCAGCCTTCTGACAGCTGCTTCCCCTTGACTCTTTCTGGAGCAGTTAATGTAAGTACAAAGTGGACCGATTCAGTTACAGTTAAACTGCAGTTAAGTACAGCACAATTAAGTTACCATATTTCATGGTGTATAGGTCGATGCAGAGTAGAAGTCAACCCCATTTTTCTGATCCAAAAAGTTAGGAATTTCATAGATCCAGTGTATGAGTCAACCTAACTTTTTGGATCAGAAATACACTCCTGTGTGCCCTCACTGCAGGCTGGACACCTAGGGGGTGGACATGTGCTGCAGCGCTGCTTGTGGGGGACAGGGCAAGAGCTGGCGTCAGCACTCAGCTGGTATGGCCCCATCCCCTGCGAGCAGTGCTGCCTGGGCCATGCCAGCTGAATGCTGAACTCAGCACCGTTCACATGAGAGGGGGCCACACCAGCCAAGTGCCAAGCCCGGCCCTGTCTCCTGTGAGTGGTGCTGCCTGGGCTGCACCAGCTGAGTGCCGAGCCTGGCCCCATCCATTGCAAGTGGCACTGCCAAGCACCAAGCCCAGCGGCACTCACAGGGGATGGGGCTGGGCTCAGTGCTTGGCAGTGCCAGTCATAGCACACAGGGCCAGGCTTGGTACTTGGCTGGTGTGGCCCCATCCCCTGTGAGCGGTGCTGCCTGGGTCATGCCAGCTGAGGGCTGAGCCCAGCACTGTTCACAGGGGACAGTGATACACTGTATAAGATGAGGTTGAATTTTAAGAGTTAAAAATTGGGCTTCAAAACTCAACTTATACACTATGAAATACAGTACCAAGTAGGCAGCAGGACTGAAAGATAATATGCAGTTAAGCAATTTATGCACTTAACCAATATAGTGATAATGGGAACTGGTTACAATATAAGCAACTGGTAGTGTGTCATGCAGTGAAACACATTTTGCACTCATACATAAGTGGAGATATTGCAGAGATATACCACTACAGTGCAAAAAACTGAGGGCATCAACTGACTAAGACATAGTACAATTCAAGCCAAGGGCTCAGGACAAGAATTCTTCATAAAAAGAGGAGCAGCGGGGGATTGATGGCTGCATTCACTACTCCACAACAGCAATTAATGCTGTCACCACTCTCCCACTGTCAAATTTATGGACCCATGAGAAGCTCTGTGGGCTAAATGACTATTTCGCAGGTCAGATCCGACCAGCAGGCTGTAGGTTGAGCACCACTTGTCTAGACCTTGTGAAGTCCTTTCCAACCTTATTTTTGTATGATTCTAATACAAAAGGGATCTAAGGTTAAACTATGAAACTATGAATCTGCAGAGATGGCTTCTTGAATTCATCTAAGGCAGGGGTGGGCAAAATGCAGCCCACGAGCCAGATGCGGCCTGCCACAGGGCCCCTAAAAATTTTAGGAAATTAATATTTAACTGCCCCTGGCTGCCTGTCATGTGGCCCTCGATGGCTTGCCAAAAACTCAGTAAGTGGCCCTCTGCCCAAATTAATTGTCCACCCCTGATCTAAGGAGCACAAACTGGTACTCTAAATGGTGCTAACTGAGAAAGCACCAAGTTATTTTCCGTATTGTTTGCCACAAACATTAAGAAATCATGTTAGTGTAGCTTGTGAAAGCAAGCTTCCAAATTATTCTTTTCTACTGCTGTAAACATAGTCAAACTATGCAAGAGGGAGAAAAGTCAGTCATTTACAGAGCATTTTTATAATATGCCTCGTAAACTGGTCTCCATCTCCCAATTTCTTGCTGGAAGTTACCATGATGCACTAAAAACAAAATCAGTGCTAAATGACTAGTGTAGCTCAAATAAAAAAAAACAGTTTAAAGCTTGTTGAATTAACTGTATCTTGCACTATGTCTTTCTTTCCTCATAACATAATAGATTGATGAAAGTGACTAACAAAGGATATATGAATGGAGAATCGCCATAACTGATACGAGATGAAATAAGGGCTATACTGTACATACTAATCTCAGAGTTTTGTTTTTGGGAGTACTAAACTCAAATGAGCAATTTTCCTCAGACCATAAACCACTGATTTACTAAGCACCACCAGATGGTTCTCAAAAATAGCAGACAAGAGTATATAATCAGTTCCAGATTTTTGGCAGAAATGTTAGAGTTAGGGAACAAATATCAAAAGTAAAAACACAAAGTGACCTATACTGAACTTACTGAGAAGCACCTTACTTTTAGGCTTCTCTGATCCCTAGTTTAGTAGAATGAGAGTGCAAAGATGACCACAAGGCAAATCACTAATGAAGCTGGGAGTGGCAAACCTGTGTTTTAACACTATCGTCTGCCAAAAACTAAAATTAAAAAAGTATGGGGAATATGGCTTCTAAACATCCCAGGGTACTATTTTGCAGTTATGAGATGTAAAATTTCAGTCAACAGAAAGCTTAGCCTTTTATTTTTAAATTTTGGACATTTGATACTGGACAATAATCAGGAAACATGCTCTTCTTCAAAATGGTCAGAGAAGATCCACCTGGCAATCTGAATGAGCAGAATAAAGCTGGCTGCAGTTATCCTATTTTTTCTTGTTACATTATCAATTCTGATAGTTTTGTTGCATATATGTGACTTGGGCCCTTGACACATTCACAACAGACGTGATGGAATCTAACCCACAATCCTAATGATCATGCATTCTGCCAGGCTACACACCTGGGCTCCCCCTACACCAACAAGATGAAACCAATCAGCTGATTGTTAACTGGGGCCAGAAACCAAACTGGTCCCTGGTCCCATCTGACTACCAGCTTGGCACATGGGGAACCTAACATCAGGCCATGACAGCCCCCAGTACTAGGCTCCTCCTACACCAAGAGCTATAAAACCACGTTTGCCATCCAGCTGAGCAGCACATATAGCTTTGACAGGTTCTGATGCATGGGGAGGCTGGCACTGGGCTGCTGCAGCTCAATGTCAAGCTCTCTGTACCCTGGGACTGTATAAACCTTGTGCACTGACCAGCAGTGTGGCACATGTAGTTTTATGGCTCTTTATAGACAGGGAAACTGGAAGCAGAACCCCAATGCCTGTTTCCCCATGTACCAGGCACTATAAAACCATGTATGCCACTGTGCTGGGTGGCACATGGGGTTTTTGCAGCTCCCGGTGTATGGCGAGCCCAATGCCAGGCTGCAGCAGCCTAATGCTGGCCTTCCCATGCACCAGGATATGTCAAAATCAGCTAAGTGGTACACATGGTTTTATAGCTCCCTGTGCACTGGAAGCTGTATAAACACCATGTGCAGCCCAGCTGGGCGGCAAGTGGAGTTTTGACAGGCCCTAGCCACAGGTTTAGTTTACAGCATGATACAAACAAGCCATAAAGTTATTCCCCATTATATGGAATGTGGAATAACTTAGTGGTTCATTTGCTGCATTACATGCCTTGATTTGGGGTGCACATGTGGCTGGTTACTATTCAAGCTGCAATTAATCTGCATATTGCATTTTAAATGTAACATGTTAGGGGGCCTTAGGCATCAGCAAGTAGGAAAAGCTTTAAATATTAGCACCCAAACAACCTACCACTCTTCCTATAACAGGTCTATAAAGCCTAAATAAATCTTATGACATTAATGCTTTAATTGCCTATTCTTATGAACAGCATGTAAAATAAGAATTAAGCAAGAAATGCACATGTGCATATACCATATTCACCCAAAACAAAGACAACTCTCAAATTCAAGACAACCCCCTAATAATTAGATTTCATACATGGAAAATTCCACATACAGAATCTAATTATTGGAGGGTTGCCTTAAATATGCCCCCCTTGCTGCTGATGTGGGGAAAGCAGCAGAGAGAGA